AGATGCGAGGTGCATTGTTTTGAGAGAATCGTTCACGGAGATCTTCCCAAACTTCATGAGCGGTAGAATAGTAGATCACACTATCTGCGATTTCTGGATTGAGAGTATTGACAATCCAGGAATGAACCATGTCGTTGCATCGCGACCAAGTCGCGTAGCCTTCAGGATCAACTTCTTCTAAAGGAGCTTCGATAGAACGATTGACAAATCCAAGCTTGTTCTTGGAGTTTAATGCCAGAGTCATAGCTCTTTTCCAGCCAGAGTAATTGTCTCCATTCAAAGGTTTGGAGACTAGAACCAATCCTGGGTGATCCGAGTGATGAGTGAAATAAGGATTCGAGATGTCAGATTTCGAAAAATTTGATGAAAACTCCAGTTTAGATGAACCAGGGAAGGCAGCAATCTTGCCGGAATTTGTTGGAGATGTCGGTGGAACTTCTTCATTAGCCATGATGGTTTAAGAACTGAGAAGATGCCTACACGAGAGATTAAAGTGCAGAGATGAATCCGGATCTTAGTGTCCGCTCTGATACCATGTAAAAGGTGAATAGAAGAGAGAATTTGCTGGAATAATTTTATTAATGTCAGAGCGCAAATATATACATCTTCCTAACTTCCTATACAAGTCTATTACTTCCTACAATTAAGCTATCACAGCAAGGTTCCATAAGTACTAACTATAATCGAGGAACATATAAGGAAAACAAATATTTACTTATCAATACAAAAGATATGACAGATTTGATTTTCCAACAAAAAATACAACCCAAAATATAGTGTCCCCAAAAACTAACAAGTATTAGTCTTTTCAACTCCTCATAAATAGTATAATTTAAAAATAGACAAAACCAATGGAATTGAAAAACGCTTGCAAACAAGGTTGGACCAATTGTCACTGGTGGACCCGGGACCTAGTGATCCCCCAACTTTTGAAATTTTTCTTTTGATAAAGTGATGTTTGGTATCAATTGATGTTGACATACAAAAATGAGGATCAATTAAATGGTCAAAAGAATGAAACCCAGTTAGGGAATTTGAAAGTTGGACCCAAACCTAACACGAAGTTATGCAATTGATGCCCATCATCGCCCAAAGCCTAGCGAGGCCCATCATCGCTCGAGCCTGTATGACGCTCAAAATCTGGGCGAACATAGTGTTTTGGTTACTGTTTGAAGCAACGGTTATTACAGCAGTTAATGTGTAATCTTATCACATTCCACGATCCAAAAATCTCGGTTGCAAAACTTTAAGAGAATGGAGTAATGGTAGCGGTTGAAAACGGTAGTTTCATGACAAGTCATCCACGATAGAGAAAGCTGGTAGTTACAGGACGATGGGCAGTTTCCAAGAGTTTTGAAACGGTTTTACAAGAGAAACTGCCAAATGAGTATTAAAGAGAAAGAAGAATCTACAGGTGAAAAAAGATCAAACCAACTCTCAAACAGAAAACTTTGTAATTTTATTTCTTAATTAACTTTCAGTTATTTCCTTCTAGTATTCGTGTGCTTGCGCCCCTTGGAGGCATTTTGTTTTGTCCACATTGTAATTTTCATCAATAAAATATCAATCGTTGGGACTTTGTCTCAAGAAGTTATTGTTCCTTACACAATCGTCTGATCTATCTTTTAATTGTTAGCGATTTCCATGCAAAACAATTGAATTCTAAATTTTAATCTAAATCAAAGTTAACAATTAATTTTAATAACATATTTCATGGAATCCATAACTATTAACTTTTATTAAAATGTGCTAAAATTTTGATTTTAATCTCTACTAAATAGGGACAAAATCACAATAAATTTGAATTTTTCTTTTCTAGCTTTCTTTTACTCTTTTCCTCATGCCTTTTAACAAAATCTTGACTCTTCTAATTTTTTTAAATGAATATAATTTCTCTGCAAATCTTTACTTTCCAATCAAATTTTCAAGTAATGAGAATCTAAATTTGCATTTTTTTTTTCATATCATACTATGTATATAGAATGTGTCTGAACTCATTATATCCAATTTGACTTATATTTAACGAATTGCGTTTATTTAATTGATTGTTGTATTGAATATTAGTTATATTTTTTTCGATTCGATTAATTGAATTGATTGTGTGTATCAAATACATTATAAGATTTTTAAACGTAAATATGCATTTTCTTGTGATGAACAAAACATTAATAGAATGACTCTTTAAAATCAAATGGATGAAAATAATTAGCAAAATATTAATGAAAAAATTGAATTGATTGTTTATATCAAATACATTATAAGATTTTTAAATGTAAATATTGATTTTCTTGTGATGAACAAAACATTAATAGAATGACTCTTTAAAATCAAATGGATGAAAATAATTAGCAAAA